TATTAAAGATACAAATACAAGAGGTTCGTAGTGGTTGTGTTGAAGGGTTGGCATGTGAGTGGAGACGTGGTGTAGGTGGGTGGGCGGCAGCAAGTGGGTGACGGAGTAAGCACAGTGCCGGGCCCTCAGGTACAGTGCTGCCAAGAGCACTGACTCATTTAGGAGGAGGAGTCAAGATACCAGTGACAGTTGGTGTTTTATATTCAGCTACCTGGAACCAAAAGTTTCAAGCAGCACGGGCTATGGTGACCCCGTAGTGGACTTACCTGGCACAGTATTACAGAGGGGAAGGGAGATACCCACAAGACTGGAATACATCATGACGCACACAGGTACTACACCACACAACACCCGCACTACTACCAACACTGGACGAACCACTACCACAACAACACACCCTGGACCAGGCCTACTACCATGGACCTGGGTGGAGAGGGGGAGAACTACCAAAGCCCACTAGAAGTGACACGCAATATGGGAAATCATTCATATTTGCAAATATACAAGGCTTAAAGTCAAAATCAAAAAATAAAATTATGTTCTTAAATGGCCTTCTAATAGAATCGAACTCAATATTTGGTGCATTTACAGAAATCCACAGAAAAGACTACATGGATTGTGAAATCTGGATCCTAAATTATAATCTATATAGATGTGGCAGAGTAATTAGGTCAAGTGGAGGCGTAGATCTGTATGTTAAAGGGGAACTAGCATGCACAGAGCTCCAGAACTCGACCAATGAGGTGGTAGAGGTACTTTGAATCAAGGTAAAAAATATAAAACTAATTATTATTCTAATATACAAACCGCCAGATGCAACAGTTGAGGAATTCACAGAGGAGATGCACAAAATAGAGAATATCCTTGATAACCTTGCAAACCCAGTACCAGACATTATCTTCCTTGGAGACTTCAATCTACCCAGTTTAAAATGGAGAATAGTAAACAATAACATTATAGAAGGAAATCAACTTGGAAATAACCAACCACAGGTCAGAGAACTACTGAGATTCTGTGACAAATTCTCGCTCAGTCAGCAGATTACAGAAGCAACTAGGAACGAAAACACGCTGGACCTGATATTCACAAACAATGATGAGCTACTCAGAGACATTACAATCTCAGGTACTACATACACAGACCACAAGCTCATTGAAGTGCAAACTAACATTAATAACGGTAGTAGGCCCAAGAGAAACAACAAGCAAGAAGAGTTATTCAATATATTCAATTTCAATAATAAGAGGATCGACTGGGAAAAAATAAATATAGACCTCGCAACCATTCAATGGGAGACGGTCTTAAGCGACAAAACTCCCACACAGGGAATAGCTCAACTGACAGCTGAAGCTTACAAGGTCTGCTTGAAGCACGTGCCTGTGAGGAGGGGCAGAAAGAGCACCACTCTAGAAAGAGAACGCAGACGACTGTACAGAAGGACAACAATTACCGAAATACTTAAACACGATTATCACAAGTAAGGAAAATAAATTTAAACAGTGAGATCGAAGAAATAGAGCAGATGCTGTAGCAATCATACGAGTCTGAGGAAATGGAATTGGAACAGAAAGCTACACAGTAGAAAATGTAAAGAAAAATAATTTGTTTACATATGCAAATTCAAAATCGAAAGACCTCCAACAGTATTGGATCTTTACTTATAATTGAAGGTTCCTACACAGTGAACAACAAAGAAATTAGTGAAATTCTAAAATACCATTATGAGGCTATGTTTAGCACCCCAATAAACAACATGAAAGACCGCTGTTTATGAATGACATCCAAGCTCCAGATAATATAACCGATGCAGGAGAATATATATAACCGATATTAACACGAACTCTGAAAGACATTGAGAAAGAGAAAAACTCTGAAGAAAGCTCTGAAGAAAGAGAAATTGACAACATGCCCATGTACTTGGCCCCAAGTCCTCACTTGTAGAATTCAATATTGACAAAAAAGTGTAAAGTACCAGTAGCGCGAGCACTGTGTGTAGTACAGACAGAGCCTGGATACAGGGCAGATACCAGCAGCACTTAAATCAGCAGATATAACCCCTCTGCACAAGGAAGGTAGTAAAGCTCTGGTAAAAAACTATAGACCAGTTGCACTAACATCACACATAATGAAAGCCTTTGAAAGAGTGATTAGTAATCAAATTTCCAGTTTTATGGAAAATAATGAACTTCACAACGCAGGATTTAGAGCGGGAAGATCCTAGCTGTCACAATTACTCAACCACTATGACAGAATCCCATAAGCCTTAGTGGAAAAGCAAAATGTAGATGTTGTATACACAGACTTTGCAAAGGCTTTCGACAAATGTGACCATGGAGTTATAGCCCATCAAATGAGATCAATAGGAATAATGGGTAAAGTGAGGCGTTGGATCTTCAACTGTCTGTCAAACACAATACAGAGAGAGTGACGACCAATCAAGTAAAATCAAGACTGAACAAGCTTGATTTTACCTAATTTCACTCAAGCACAAGTGCTTGGGAGTACCCAGAGCACAGGTTCGAACCTTCCTCATGGCACCTTCCGATTTGCTTATTGATAAAAATCACGTTAATGTGATGTCTTTGTGAACCGTAAACATTGTAACCACAGTCGTGTGACGCATTGTGTCAGGTGGTTTACATGTGTACCTGGAGAGGGTATTAGGAGTACAGTACTACTCCCCGAGCCCTTCGTTTGTGTACTGTCCTCAGTATAATATCTCTAGTGTTCGTGTATACTTTAATTATTTTATCATAATGTGGACCATAAATGGGTAGTTGGATGTGAACCAATCTAGATTTGATGTAATTATTGAGGCTTGGAAGATGAGTGCGCGTTGTGTGAAGGGGTGGTGGCTGGTGGCTGCTCTTGGCACACTGCGACCACTTGGGGTTCTCACATATACGGAAATAAATTGTTATATTTCAGAATACAGATATTTGTCATTGGCCTTGAAGGGTTTCTGCTGCTTCTCGGAAAGTAAACATTATTTAGTAATGTGTAGTGTTGTTGGTGTTGCTTTAGGTGGCCACGACTGTAGTGGTGCCGTGTGTGCCCCGGTCTTTTCTTAAGGGTAAAAAGCAAAGTCTTACTGCTAAATTAACGTCGTCTGTTAGCGGAAAAGAATGTGTCTTGCGGCGAATAAACACAATGATGGGTAGAGGATTAGGGAGGCAAGCACGGGCCCTGCCCCACACACAGAACACTGGAAAACCAAGCAAGATAAAGGTAAAACAAGGCTCCTCCTAAATTGGTACCCAAATGGGCAAAAACGTCTTCCAGAGCAGGAGCCAGTCGACCACACCCCCCAAGAAACCCAGCCCGGCAGCTCTCGGCCACCCGACCACCCAGAAAATGTGGACAAATCTATCACTTCCCCTGTGACCTTCCCAACCACTTGGGCTGGACGGTAGAGCGATGGTCTCGCTTCATGCAGGTTGGCGTTCAATCCCCGACATTCTAAGATGCTGGGCACCCATTCCTTTCCCCCGTCCCATCCCAAATCCTTATCCTGATCCCTTCCGAGCGCTACATAGTCTTAATAGCTTGGCGCTTTCTCCTTGATAGTTCCCTTCCCCTGTGGCCCGGGGCGATAAGTACGTGAGGCGTCGTAACAATCCGGACCGTCGGGTAGGAATGCATGAGACCCAAAGGGTAAAATCGCGTGAGGAGTTACTCTTACACCACCGGGACCACCGTAAGTACTGAAGGGAAGTTCAGTGTCACATGTAAGAGTGGAACGTGTAGGGGCTAGCGGGGAGGAGCCGCGGTGGGACCTTCCACCAGTGTCGGTGGCAGGTGGCCGAGCCAAGGACTGACCTCAAGGATGCAACCCACTTGATGTCACTTGAGTAACTCTAAACTATCTAATTACTGCTCTTTAACGAGGAAATAATGCAGGTGAGTGATGTGGTGGGTGGAGCAGCGTGTAGGTGGTGGGTGTTGGGGTGTCGTCGACCCCACATCAGCAACAAGTTAAGAGTGTAACAGTGGTGAAGGTGAGGCATTGTGTAGGTGGCACAGTGGTGAAGGTGAGGCATTGTGTAGGTGGCACAGTGGTGAAGGTGAGGCATTGTGTAGGTGGCACAGTGGTGAAGGTGAGGCATTGTGTAGGTGGCACAGTAGTGAAGGTGAGGCATTGTGTAGGTGGCACAGTGGTGAAGGTGAGGCATTGTGTAGGTGGCACAGTGGTGAAGGTGAGGCATTGTGTAGGTGGCACAGTGGTGAAGGTGAGGCATTGTGTAGGTGACACAGTGGTGAAGGTGAGGCATTGTGTAGGTGGCACAGTGGTGAAGGTGAGGCATTGTGTAGGTGACACAGTGGTGAAGGTGAGGCATTGTGTAGGTGACACAGTGGTGAAGGTGAGGCATTGTGTAGGTGACACAGTGGTGAAGGTGAGGCATTGTGTAGGTGACACAGTGGTGAAGGTGAGGCATTGCGTAGGTGGCACAGTGGTGAAGGTGAGGCATTGTGTAGGTGGCACAGTGGTGAAGGTGAGGCATTGTGTAGGTGGCACAGTGGTGAAGGTGAGGCATTGTGTAGGTGACACAGTGGTGAAGGTGAGGCATTGTGTTGGTGGCACAGTGGTGAAGGTGAGGCATTGTGTAGGTGACACAGTGGTGAAGGTGAGGCATTGTGTAGGTGACACAGTGGTGAAGGTGAGGCATTGTGTAGGTGACACAGTGGTGAAGGTGAGGCATTGTGTAGGTGGCACAGTGGTGAAGGTGAGGCATTGTGTAGGTGGCACAGTGGTGAAGGTGAGGCATTGTGTAGGTGGCACAGTGGTGAAGGTGAGGCATTGTGTAGGTGGCACAGTGGTGAAGGTGAGGCATTGTGTAGGTGACACAGTGGTGAAGGTGAGGCATTGTCTAGGTGACACAGTGGTGAAGGTGAGGCATTGAGTAGGTGACACAGTGGTGAAGGTGAGGCATTGTGTAGGTGGCACAGTGGTGAAGGTGAGGCATTGTGTAGGTGGCACAGTGGTGAAGGTGAGGCATTGTCTAGGTGACACAGTGGTGAAGGTGAGGCATTGTGTAGGTGACACAGTGGTGAAGGTGAGGCATTGTGTAGGTGGCACAGTGGTGAAGGTGAGGCATTGTGTAGGTGACACAGTGGTGAAGGTGAGGCATTGTGTAGGTGACACAGTGGTGAAGGTGAGGCATTGTGTAGGTGGCACAGTGGTGAAGGTGAGGCATTGTGTAGGTGGCACAGTGGTGAAGGTGAGGCATTGTGTAGGTGACACAGTGGTGAAGGTGAGGCATTGTGTAGGTGACACAGTGGTGAAGGTGAGGCATTGTGTAGGTGGCACAGTGGTGAAGGTGAGGCATTGTGTAGGTGACACAGTGGTGAAGGTGAGGCATTGTGTAAGTTTGTGCAGTTTTAAGAAAATGTTTCACGGTGTAAGGGGCATCAGCGGCTGGGTTCGGGGGGGGAGCAGGCCTCGTGCCAGAGGTGTGGGGAGATACTGGGTGTAGGAGGAGGGGGGGGGGGCCACGAACCATCGGGCAGTGCCACGTGCTATTTTGAACTGGTGGAGTTTGGGTGGCTAGCGTGCCAAGCCCAACAGTGGCCCTCCGACCACGGCCGCGTCGCCTCACCTCACCTGGGTCTCCCCGTTCGTGACCCAGTGTGCCTTCACCTTCGGGGGGTCACGGTTGTTCCCTGACACCGTGTCATAGCGCTGATAACAGTGGACGAGTGCGTGTCATCACTCAGGTCGGTAACAAGCGTCAGTGGTGCCCAGGTTAATCTGTGTTGAGTGAAGTAGCTGAGTGAAGGAAAGAACATGAATCAAGTGAAGGCTTGGCTGGGCTCGCTGACATCCCAGCTGCCCGAGTGGTGCACCTCCAGAATACCCGAGTTACAGATGCCCAACATGCTCAACTGGAACATACCTAGGCCGAGTATGCCGGAGTGGAGACTGCCGCCACCATCAGAGTGGAGTTTGCCATCGCCTTCAGAGTGGAACTTAGATCGCCTTACTAGGTGGGACGAGCCCTTCCTGCCTGCGTGGTTACGTCCTTCCCACTGGCGCCAGCAGGTGCGGGATGCACTGTTATGGGTATGGATGATATTCATATCTTTCCTGGCAGCCCGAGAAGACCCGGAGCAGCAGCCGCAGCTTCACCAGGAGACTGTTGACGTTCAAGAAGAGTGTGAGGTGGAGGATGCTCTCGACAGTGAGCTGCGGGATGCCTTCCAGACGGTGGAGGCGGAAGAGGAAGATGAAGGTGAGGGGTGGAGAGGGGGATTTGGGGAGAGGGGTGGACTGACGCGTTACCCGGGAATTGAAAACTTGTTGGCACAACCCCCCACAGCCACTCTACCGACACCACGCCCTCGCCTGCCACGCACACCTCTTACCGATATCGTAAACAAACAAGGAGCTGTCAGGCAGGACATTTGCGAAGAACAAAAAGAAAGTGTATCTGATGAACGAAGTATTGAGAATGAAGCTGTTGCAAGCGGCGACGATAAAGACGCTCTGTGGAAATCACTCTTGGCAAGGTACACAGATGATGATTCTCTGGCCGAGACTGATCAAAATGACCAATCTCTTGAAGAAGGTCCAGAGTTTGTCGGTACGGCGGAGGAGATTGTTGAAAGATACGCCTCCAAGTTCGAGCCTGAGGAAGCTGGCGAAAGAAGCCAAGTGCCTACTGAAGAATTCACTGTCAAGCTTGGTAACCGACTGGAGGAGTACTTGTCTCGCATGGAGGAGGACGAGGACGACTCTGAAAGTAAAATTGATCTTGCCAGAGATCAAACAAAGGTTGTTGTAGAGAGAGAAATATTCCATGATGCAAAGAGGTCGATCACAGAAGCCAGTGAGAATGACGACCTGGGATGTATACTGGAAGCTAGAGATATCGAGACAGAACTTGAAGAATTTCAAGACATCGACACCGAGGGCTATGATAAAAACCGTATTTTTATTCTTATTGAAGACGAGGAAAGTGAGGATGATCGTCGTCAATTTAATGACATCTCCGAGTCATCCGATGTGGACCCGTCAGACACACCAGCCTTAGGACTGGAACACAGTGGCTCCATCAACGCGTCAAACAAAACTGAAACACTGGAACTGATGGAAGTAGAGGACGTTTATGTGGAGGCTAAAGCAGAGGACAAAATTCGTGAGACTATAGAGCGACGTGAACTCCATAGTGAAGCTAGAGTTGAGCAAACAGAACCTATATTTGATAAAAGTACAGCAATTGCGGATAATGCTGCAGCAATATCACAGGAAGATATAATATTTCGACAGGAAGGTGAGATGAGTCTTATGGGCACAGAAAGCCAAGGAATGGAGGAGGATGTTATAACTATTGATGAAGTATCTGACATTAAAGATCAGTCAGCAGAGGAGAGGAAAGACATGACGGTTGAAGATGAGCATAAACGTGCAGATGAAAGCATTAGAGAAACTAAAGAGCTAACTACAGGTGCCACCCAGGCTGCCATTCCTCCCACCATAACGTCACAAGGAAAGGTAGGGTCCTTTCCGCGTTCATGTGTCACTATTAAATTTAGCGGGGTCGTAGTGGACAGGGACACGTCTGAAGAAGAGGAGACAGGTCCCGCTGAGAGTGATAACGATGACACTAGATCACAGGAGAAACTGAAGTTTACACCTGATGGAAATGCCATACCTGAGGAGGTAAAGTTGTTGACTGAGGTAAATGCTGAAGAACACAAAATGACAGAAACCATTGAAATGGAATCACCCTTTGAGACAATACAAAAGTCTGAAGCATTACATGAAGTATTGCCTGAAATATTGCTCTTTGAGACAGATGCTAATAAGCAAGAAACAGAGCAAAAGTCAGAAGACCTTTCTGAAGTAATGTCTAAAATAGCACCCTTAGAGATAGTTGTAAATGAGCAAGAACCAGAACTCGAGTTAAAAGGATTATCTGAAGAATCAGCCTTGGAGGCAGTTGTAAATAAACAAGAGCTAGAACTAGAGTCCAAAGAACTACCTGAAGAAGCACCCTTAGAGGCAATTGTAAATACGCAAGAACCAGAGCTGGAGTCTGAAGGATTACTTGAAGAAGCTCCCATAGAATCAGTTGTAAACAAGCAAGAACCAGAGCTGGAGTCTGAAGGATTACTTGAAGAAGCTCCCATAGAATCAGTTGTAAACAAGCAAGAACCAGACCTGGAGTCTGAAGGATTACTTGAAGAAGCACCCTTAGAGGCAGTTGTAAATAAGGAAGAACCAGAGCTGGAGTCTGAAGGATTACTTGAAGAAGCTCCCATAGAATCAGTTGTAAACAAGCAAGAACCAGAGCTGGAGTCTGAAGGATTACTTGAAGAAGCTCCCATAGAATCAGTTGTAAACAAGCAAGAACCAGAGCTGGAGTCTGAAGGATTACTTGAAGAAGCACCCTTAGAAATAGTTGTAAATAAGGAAGAACCAGAGCTGGAGTCTGAAGGATTACCTAAGGAAGCATCAGTAGAGGCAGTGGTAAAGAAACACGAGTCAGAAGAAAAGATGATAGGAGTACATGAAGAAATTCCAACAGAAGCAACAACTGATAAGCAAGAATTTGAGGAAGCTTTACCACCAAAGGTAGTGATAGAACAAGACCTACGAGAAGAACAGCAGCTTCCAGACATAGGAATGGTGGATGAGGTAGAAAAACTGAAAGTACCATTAGAGGATAGAGTTGAGGATGAGTTACAAGAAAATGACATCAATCAGGAATATAAAGAGGCCTTTGAATCGGGGAAGAAAGAGAGGATAACTAATGTAGTTGAGGATAAAATAATAGGAGAGGATCTAGGTGGGGCTGATCCAACAGTTACAACAAGCAGTGAAAAATGTGAATCATTGGAAATGCCTTCATCTACTGATGAATTTCTACCAGTGGCTGATACAAAAACAATGAAATATGTACAAGGAATGAGCCTTGATGATATGTGGTCCAATACAGACAAGAAAGAGAATTTGTTAGATGAAGCCAGAGCTCCCACCCCAGACATTGAGCATTACTCTAAAGGCTCAAGGGTTGACCAGACTCATGACACACAAAGTGAACCCAGTGACTGTGACGCAGGGGATACTGTCATGGGTGGTCAGCCTCACCGGAAACTTTTAGATGATGATGCTGCTAATTCCTTCTGGGCAAGCTGGGGCACTTGTACATCTAGGGATGCAGTGCATAATGTGGCGTATGACACAGTCACTGACGAACCTTCAGCTGGGAAAAAAGGAGAAGCCAATAGTACTGAAGAAGAAATAGAGATGGAGAAGCAGGAGGATGAAATGAAGCAAGAGGAGGCGAGTGATCAAATTATGACGGAGGAGCTTGCTGGAGAGTATGAAGCAGGAATGAGAGATGAAGAAATGGAGGAGTTAGAGGTCACTCTATCACAAGCTGGAGATTGGACAAACAATGAAGACTTACCTAGTGTCAAAGAACGTGGTGTTGTAGAATCTCTAATAGAAGTGGGCGATGAAGACCTTATCTTAGCTACATCTTCAGCAGAAATTATGGAAGAAGATATTGAAGATGTTATGGAGGTAGATGTTGATGACAACATGGAAGAAGACGTTGAGATCGAAGTGTCAGACATTGAAGATATGCATGAACTGCTCGAGAGCCCAGTCATACCTCCTATAGATGACACAGATGACTACTTGGCAGAGGTTGCGGACTTGCTGGTGAAACCTCAGAGACGTAAAGACCCTCTGGACTCCTTAATGGCTGAGGCTGAGTTGACTGTAGAGACTGAAGATATGGCAGAGGACGCTGCAGTGCACCCTCTTTTAACGAAATATACATCAGTGCCAACAACTCTGACGAAAGAAGAAGAGACGGAACTTCAGATGTATTTGGCTGAAAATGACGATGCTAAGGAACTCGACATGGAAAAGTTTATGGCAATGCCGCCGACGCTTACAGACCAGGAGCAGCGGGAGCTAGATGAGGCTGTGAAGGAGCGGGAGCTTGTTCACCAAGCTGAGCGTCAGGACTTGGGACGGTTCTTAGAGATGCCAGCGGGTTTGACAGAACAGGAGCTACGGGAACTTCAGGAGCTGGAACATGAGGAAACTGAGCAGCCTTGGGAAAATAAAGAGACTAGTTTTGATGACTATCTCGCCATGCCCCATGCCCTCACGGAAGAGGAGGAGAGACTTTTAAAAGAGGGAGTTGATGAAGACATAGAATTTGAAAATGAAGAGGAATATCGTGAATACGTCAGGAACAAGTTTCTCAGCCAGCTTGAAGAGGAAGCCTATAATGTGGGTGAAGAGGATGACGAGTATGACTATGAGGAAGATTATGAAGATGACTACGAATATGAGGATGACTACGAGGAAGATGAAGACGAGGGTGAGGTAGAAGGGGAATATGTCATGGTTCAAGAGACGGGCGAGACTGAAGGCACTACTCGGGTCACTCCATCTTCTTCGGGTGTGGCTGGCACCTCTACCGTGGTTGAGGAGCCTGTCAATTCGGAAGCACAACCCACAGATCTAGAGAAGACTAAAAAGAGCCTATTCAGTTTCCCAAAAAGGAACGAGAAAGAGACGGCACCAGAAGAGGCAGCGGCTTCGTCTAAAAAGTTTTTTCACTTCGGCGGCCTTGGAGCAAAAAAGAAAAAGGGAGCTCCTGAATCATCCAACGATAAAAAGCTAGAAAATTTATCCAACAAAAAGTTTGATGGGGATGGCGGGGGGTCTGTGAGCTCTGCATTCTGTATTATACAACGAAAACTGAGAGAGCAAAGCGACCAGGACATGGCACTTGGCACAAAACGCCAAGTTGGAAAACGTTTGCATTTTAAAAATATCAATCAATCGAAATTTCAGAGGAAAGTTCTGTTGAAGAAAAAATGCAGCAGTAACACTGCTACAGATATTGATGGTCAGGTTCTCAATGGCAAACATTATATTTTACCTTTTAAAATGGGAAAAGTTTCCAAAACTTCATCGCACATAGAAAGTGAAAAATTGGAAGCTAATTGTAAGGATTTAGGACCTGATGTCGCTGAATTACAACAGGATTTCAAGTCTGAAAGAACTAGGAATCAAAGCAGTAATCTGTGTAATGATCCAACCAAAAATGAAGGTAACATGGCTGAAGTTTCCTTAGGAAAGACCGCTGGTGTCGACTTGCCTGATAGTTTAGACTGCTGTGAAGTCCCAGAAATTCTCATTGATTATGGTGAAGAAGAAGAAGTGGACGAAGAAATAGCTAAGGTTTTCATAGCGGCTCAGGTCACCGAGGGAAAGACAGGCGAGTCTCTCAAGGGAAGTGGGAGCCCCTTAGATGACGAGGAGGACTTCTGGCGGCAGTGGAGAAGCGAGGAGCAAGCCTGTGTGTCTGGTGCCAGAGACTCTGCCTCTCCCTGGCAGCTCAACCAGGATGAGCAGCATCCTCTTGCTCAGTATGACAAGGAACAGATAGAGATTGACTGCAGAGAGAAGAGTGGTGCAGCAGAGAGTGGTGCAGCGGAGAGTGGAGCAGCGGAGAGTGGTGCAGCGGAGAGTGGTGCAGCGGAGAGTGGTGCAGCGGAGAGTGGAGCAGCGGAGAGTGGTGCAGCGGAGAGTGGTGCAGCGGAGAGTGTTGCAGCGGAGAGTGGTGCAGCGGAGAGTGGTGCAGCGGAGAGTGGAGCAGCGGAGAGTGTTGCAGCGGAGAGTGGTGCAGCGGAGAGTGGTGCAGCGGAGAGTGGTACAGCGGAGAGTGGAGCAGCGGAGAGTGGAGCAGCGGAGAGTGGTGCAGCGGAGAGTGGTGCAGCGGAGAGTGGAGCAGCGGAGAGTGTTGCAGCGGAGAGTGGTGCAGCGGAGAGTGGTGCAGCGGAGAGTGGAGCAGCGGAGAGTGTTGCAGCGGAGAGTGTTGCAGTGGAGAGTGGTGCAGCGGAGAGTGGAGCAGCGGAGAGTGGTGCAGCGGAGAGTGGAGCAGCGGAGAGTGGTGCAGTGGAGAGTGGAGCAGCGGAGAGTGGTGCAGCGGAGAGTGGAGCAGCGGAGAGTGGTGCAGCGGAGAGTGGTGCAGCGGAGAGTGGAGCAGCGGAGAGTGGTGCAGCAGAGAGTGGAGCAGCGGAGAGTGGTGCAGCGGAGAGTGGAGCAGCGGAGAGTGGTGCAGCGGAGAGTGGTGCAGCGGAGAGTGGAGCAGCGGAGAGTGGTGCAGCGGAGAGTGGAGCAGCGGAGAGTGGTGCAGCGGAGAGTGGTGCAGCAGAGGGCGTATGTGATGAGGGGAGGAGAGAGTCCTTCACACCTGAGAGTGGTGACCCAGGATGTGTGGTGGCCAGTAACAGGTGTGGGGGCGGTGGCCACTACTCCACACATGTACACAAGGCCAGTTATAACACATGCACTGACAGTGAAAGAAGTGCCAATCCTGGCGTCACGAGTGCAGACACTTGTGCCGATGGCAGTAGTGAAGACGACCAAGTGCCAGGTGATGGAGTTGGTTCGTGTGAGAGACGTCACTCTGGTCCTGGCGAGGGTCACAACCACAGGAGCCAGGGGACTCCCAATTCCCCTGCCTTCACAGCATCACCACACCATACAAGCTCTTCGTTCCATCGGAAAGGTATGTTTAGCATTAATCTACCACAAAGGGCAGGAGGGTGCTGAGGGGTAGGGGAGGGGGGTTGTTGGGGTGGTGGTTGGGAGAAGTGGGTTGTTGGGGGTGGTGGCGGGGAAAAGTGGGTTGGTGGGGGTGGTGGGAGGACAGAGGGATAAGAGAGGAGATTGTTGGGGGAGTGGTGATGGTTGTGCTTTCTGTGCTTCTGTATTGTTCCACCGGAGCCTCACTGTTCTTGTTATGTTGCTGAGACTGGCCTCACTAACAGCATTCTCTTTGGGTTACAGGTTCCGCCATGTCCGACGTTGAGTCAGCAGACGACGTCGCCGTAAGTAATAATCAAGTGGATGCCGACTCCCTCGAGTTTGCTGTCAACACTAACCTGCCCCTGACGGCCACCAAGGCCTCCCCTGGGGGCGCTGCCCCTTCCCTCCAAGAACTAATTGAAGCAGAACTTAGTGTCAGACTTTTGCAGCCTGACTCCCTCGAACCCCCCGTTTCCCCAGCTCTCCATTCCCTCCTCAGTTGCGACTCCATAGAGCCCATATTGGCCCCGCACGGTCCTGCCCTCAGTTTAGACTCACTCACGAGCTTTGATCCCCTGAAGGACACTCCAAGCCAGGCTGACGAGGAAAGTGGTATAGACATTCTTTCCCCAACTAAACTTGACGATTTCAGTAACCCGGACTCTTTGGAGTCTTCTTCAGACCTGCCAGGGTCACCAACCCACTGTGCCCCGGAACCTCCTAGGAAGGGGGCCTTTGTCGGAGACACTAGTCAGCTTTTGCTTATTGAAGATCTGTCATCTCCATATAGCCAGCAGCATGCCACTACTGCTGTGGAGAACACTCTGCTTATAGTGGAAGAGGAGGATCTCACTGTTGCTCAAGATGACACACAGCCTTTGTTAGCTCTTCAGAATTTAGAAGCGCCTGAGTCACCACAACGAGACGATGCTACAACTTATGTAGCAGAACAAGACATTGAGATTAGTCATGTTAATCACACAGAGAGTCAGTCGCCGCCACCGCCCCTGGGACTTACCGATACGAGTGAATTGCTTGACGTTCCGACATACTCACACTCTGGATCGGAGGAGCAGTTAGAGTTGTCAGAGAGCTCGGCCGATATCTGCCGAACCTCTGACTCATACACGTCCGACTGTGCTGTGATTCAGGACGATGCTGATGGGCACAATACGTACGATGACACTCAAGGGGCAGGCCACTGGCAGGCTGAATTACTGATACAAGCTGATGATAACCTTTCTGATAGTTTTGCCACGGAAGAGTCATTATCCTTTGACAAGATCACAAGAACAGCATCTTCGGTAGAATATGAGCAACACACTGAACCTTTGCAAACCGAGCTTACCCAAGCAGATATTATCTCTTTCACCAGTTCTCATTCCTCCTCCCAAGACGTCAGCATTTCTCAGGAGTACCCCTCATCATCCCAAGATATCAACATCTCTCCTGAATCCCCTTCCTCCCCTTTGATGCCTTCGACCCCATCTGTAGAGTCCCTGGGAGCCCTTTCCCTGAGTGTTACTAACAGCGTGTGTGATGGTGTATACTCTAACGCTGGTGATATGAAGGTTGGTTTGGGTGATGACCAGTGGGACGGTGACAGCCCAGCCAGTGGTGGTGGTGGTGAGGAGTTGACGGCCACGATGCACTTGGGTGGTGCTAGTAGTGGCGACGACATCCTTTCCGGTAGTGATTTTAACGTAAGTGTTGTTCTTAATTGTTTTGCCCACACTGCCTCTCTGCGGCCATGCATGCTATACACCTCCCTCTCTCGTCCTCTCAACTCTCTCTTTAATTTCCATACCCAACCCTCCACTTAGCTTAAAGCTCCAGGTAAGTTGTGGCATGCAATTTCAATATCTCTGTAAACTCTAGAATCGTAAACTTGCATGTGTTGCAGGACGTTATTCACACACTTATCCATAAGTGGCAGCATGCTGGCGCTTCCTGCCTGCTATTTCTGGGAGCTGTCAACCTGGCACTGCCAATACTCAAGTGTGAAGGTAGACAGCTTGGCACAGTCATAGTGTCAACAGAAACCAGCCCACCACACACTAGTGTACCCAAGCTAAAAGGTGGCAGCAACATATGCGAGTAACGTTAATCGTTACTCGTTACTCCACGTTGTAATCACCACCTCAAGCAGCTACTTGACTCCAAATCATGGATAACATTACCAAGTAAAGCTAGTTAACACCATAAGGTGCGGTAATGCCAGGGAGCGCTACCTTGCTCCGGGTGGATCTAGTTGACATTATGTAAAGCACGGCTACATCAGTAGGAGGTAGTTACCACCAGGTAAAGCATGATATATATTAGAAGAAGTTGGTGAGTGAGTTATGAGCAGGGACAAGTTGACTGAAGGAGACATTGCCCAGGTACTGCTCCAGACCCCTTGCCTGTCACCTTACGGCATTATATCACAGGGTTGTGCTTCAAACACTGTTGACAGCTTCACTGTTGGGCAGGGTGCGTGCCGCCACCTCCCTGGATGACGGCACGCACCGCTGGCTCCAGTTACACACAAAGCTCGTCAGATTGAGGCACAGGAGTCACTTATACCGAATGAACAAATCCACAAGGGCCGTGACGAGGATTCGAACCTGCGTCCGAGATTTGTTCATATGATGCATCACGCAATTGTGATTTCTGTGTGTCACTTATGCCGTTATGTCTTCAGCATTAATTACTCTGTACCTGTCACTTTCAGTCCACAGCTCACTACCTGCTTCTTTGTTGTTTGACTTGTTTATTTAAATATTATTTATTTCCTTTATTATGTATTGCCTTTATAGTTTATTTTCTCTTATTTATTGCCTCCACAATTCTTCCATAATTAAATAATTTAGTTATTTAAGTTATATATATATATAAGTTTGTTTTAATTCTTAATTATATTATTTTCTAGAGCTTTTATTTTCTGACAAATGTTTAACTGATTACTCAATAATTGCTTGAAGATGTAGTTTTTAAAACTTGAGCGTAATACTTGGGTTGAGGCAGCGGCCTTGTGCAGCTGTGACAACGGTGTGCAGCTGTGACAACGGTGTGCAGCTGTGGCAACGTTGTGCAGCTGTAACAACGGTGTGCAGCTGTGACAACGGTGTGCAGCTGTGGCAACGGTGTGCAGCTGTGACAACGGTGTGCAGCTGTGACAACGGTGTGCAGCTGTGACAACGGTGTGCAGCTGTGACAACGGTGTGCAGCTGTGACAACGGTGTGCACCAGTATAACTTGAAGCTAAACTTGTGTTGACAACGCTTAGTGTTCTTGAGTTTATAATGTGCTCACTTAAGATGTGTTAACAGCCGCCAAGGCGCTCAGACAAGGTAGCCGGAGTGTGAACAATGGCACTGAAGGAACCTGGTAGGTAGACCTACACTTGTGTTTTGATGTTTTGTACTAACTGTGTTGTGATGACCCCGGCCTGTCGCGTACAGGTGGATCTCTCCCGCGGTGACGACGACGGCGACGACCTCTGGGGACACCAACACCAGGACGACCACCATGGAGGTTCACGTCGTAGATATTTCCCCAGACACGAAGAGGAGGAGGAGGAGGAGGAGGCAGGGGGCCGACGTGGTCCTCTAAGAAAGTCCGACGATGATGGTGGCGACGAGGACAAGCTGGAAGGTGCTCCTCGCCTCAAGGACCAGGGCGGCGAGGAGCAGACTGGCGAGGGTGAACACGTAGACCAGCCTGCCATGGTGCGTAGCGCGGCCCCTCACCCACCACCACCCCCCTTCATGTACCCCACACACCCCTCAACCCACACACCCCACACAACCTTCAACCCACACAACCCTCCCAACCCAACCACTTGGGCAGGACAGTAGAGCGACGGTCATGCTTCATTCAGGTCGGTGTTCAATCTCCGACAGTCTAAGTGGTTGGGCACCATTCCTTCCTCCCCCCCCCCCATGCCAACCCAAATCCTTATCCTGACCCCTTCCCAGTGCTATATAGTCGTAATGACTTACCGTTTTCTTCAGATAGTTCCTTACCCCCTATTCTACCTTGCCGTTACCTTGTGTTGATTCCGGGGGTCAAGGTCCCCGCGGTCCGGTCTCTGACCATCTACCCTCCACCCCATCTCCATCTCCACCCATTACCTTCACAACTCCACCACCCTACTCCACCATTCCGTCATCCCCGCCAAGCTAGTCCACCTTCACCTTCGACTCCACCGCCAACCTCTGTTGTTGGCAACCTTTTGATATGATTGATCTATTATCAGTTAGCGTGAGTGGTCAAAACCATTGGGAGCGCCTCTAGTGGTCTTGTGGAGCGTCTCTAGTGGTCCTGGTGGTCCCTGACCATACCACCAGCCTCTGCACCGTGCACCAGCTGGGACACGGGTCTAAATCTCACACTAGTTTATTGAGTGAATAACTAAGTACTAACTGATTTTTGGAATTGCTGATTGAATGGCCAAGGTATAGGTTTTACGATCTAATAACTACCTAAGTGTAGTTACAGGATGAGAGCTACACTGGTGGTGTCCCGTCTACCAAACTGATTGTGCTTGAGTTAGCTGAGCCTGAGCTCTTGGGCTCCGCCTCTAAGCCTTCAACTGACTAGGCACAAGTGTTCAGATTCCTGACGTATTGGACACCTTAGTGACGACGCCACTCTCACCACTTCTCACTCCACTCCCTTTGTTCACTTCTTGTAACCTGGTGACCTAGTGACCTGGTGATCTAGTGACCTGGTGATCTAGTGACCTGGCGATCTAGTGAGAGTAACCTGGTGATCTAGTGAGAGTAACCTGGTGATCTAGTGACAGTAACTTGGTGATCTAGGGACAGTGACCTGGTGATTTAGGGACAGTAACTTGGTGATCTAGAGACAGTAACCTGATGATCTAGAGACAGTAACCTGGTGATCTAGTGACAGTGACCTGGTGATCTAGTGACAGTGACCTGGTGATCTAGGGACAGTAACCTGGTGATCTAGTGACAGTGACCTGGTGATCTAGTGACAGTAACCTGGTGATCTAGTGACAGTAACCTGGTGATCTAGTGACAGTAACCTGGTGATCTAGTGACAGTGACCTGGTGATCTAGGGACAGTAACCTGGTGATCTAGTGACAGTGACCTGGTGATCTAGTGACAGTGACCTGGTGATCTAGAGACAGTAACCTGGTGATCTAGTGACAGTGACCTGGTGATCTAGTGACAGTAACCTGGTGATCTAGTGACAGTAACCTGGTGATCTAGGGACAGTAACCTGGTGATCTAGTGACAGTAACCTGGTGATCTAGTGACAGTAACCTGGTGATCTAGTGACAGTAACCTGGTGATCTAGGGACAGTAACCTGGTGATCTAGTGACAGTAACCTGGTGATCTAGTGACACTAACCTGGTGATCTAGTGACAGTAACCTGGTGATCTAGTGACACTAACCTGGTGGTTATGATCTAGTCGTCTAATGACTTTGTGACATCCTGTCGACGCGACAAATGTGACGCCGTGACCTCTTGACCTCTTGTGGCATGACCTTGAGGTAAGTATGTAGTGACCTCGACCTGATACGGCCCTGAGCTGGAACGAACGTGACCCCGACATTATTTAGTGTTTAACACTTGCCTGACGACTCGGTGACCTTGACACTTGAATTCAGTCATCAGTAACCTGGGAGTATAATGGCGAATCCCTCACCTGTCGTGATGACCTTGTGACTAGGTGGCTTTGTGACATGATTGTTGTGTGACCTGGTGACCTTGTGCCCGCAGGAGGGCGAGGCTCGCACTGAGGAGGGCGGAAAGCGCGCTCCCACTTCGAACGGGGTCAATGCCACCAGCGCTGAAAAGAAGAAAAAGAAGAAATCCGAAGATGGCGAGAAGAAGAAGAAGAAGAGGAAGAAGAAGAAGGGCGAGTCTGAGAAGGAGAACATGGTAAGTGTTGGTGAGAAGTTGACTCTGTTAATGGTTGAAGGGAGTGGCTCTGTGCTCTGCTGCGGTATGAAAGGTATTAATGTTGTCTTAAGTAGTCCCTGATCTGGAGTGCCAGCTCTAGCTAGCTAGCATCCCACTAGGTCAGGCGCTGGCGAGGAAGATTACTGTTGCTGTGGTGGATCTGGTGACAGGTCAGCTTCGGGGACCTCTGCTGGCTGCTTCAAGTGACTGTGGGTTTTGATGTGTCACTACATAGTCATACGCCATTTTGGGCTACAGTTAAACTATGTAATTTCAGTCCATTCTCAGACAGTGAACGTCACCAAGGATCATGGCAGGTCACCCCTGAATGTTGGGGGTGAGCGCTGGACTAGGTGGAGCCAAGGATGGTGGTGCGCAGGTCACACTGGGGATGACGCAACAAGCAGCGAGGGAGGCGGTGAGGTGTCCTGGACGACCGCCGCTTCAGTAGCTCTACAACTGTGGTCTTTCTCGGATATACCCGCCTCGCCCCGCCCCGTCACTAGCGCTCCCCTCCTCAAATTATACGCCGGTCGATCCTACACACACGCTCTCCATATCTCGCCCCCAACACGCGCAAACGTCACGCCAGATGCTGCACGCAGCCACTACGATGTCTGAAGCTGTCACAAGAGGTTGATGTCTTCGTAAACTATACAATTGTTTCTCGAAAAGGCATTTCTCAATCGCAAAGTTACGACATTGTTACGACGCCCAAGACTTGGCCATTGGCGGTCACGAGGACGAGTAGTGGGGGTGGGGAGGGGAATCCTTCCAGTTAGCCCTGCAGCAGGTTGAAGGGGTTACCCTATAGCTGGAGTTGACGAGGCAGCCACACAGGAGGCATTGATGGAGGCAGTTCCACAAAATGTTCTCAGACGTGTTGACTGTACGTAACCGGACAGTCCTACAACAGCCGAGTGTAAAGCAGAAGACTCTTGAGCTGTGCAGCAGAAGACGAGGGAAGAGCGCCACGGAGCGAAGGTTCCAGGGGGTAAAGGGTCAGCGGAGCATGTAGAGCAGGGCGGCCATGGTGAGGTCTGGACGTGTTATGCGGGAGGAACTGGACGTGTACTCCTGGCTCACTGTCCGACCTGCACCGTCCCCGCTCTCCTCCCCGCGGCCACCCTTCAACACCACCAAGAGGTATGACCCTGGCTAACATCCCCCACAGGGTAACATCCCCCACAGGGTAATATCCCCCACAGGGTAACCATCCCCCACAGGGTAATATCCCCCACAGGGTAACATCCCCCACAGGGTAACCATCCCCCACAGGGTAACCATCCCCCACAGGGTAACATCCCCCACAGAGTAACATCCTTCACAGGGTAACATCCCCCACAGGGTAACATCCCCCACATGGTAACATCCTTCACAGGGTAACCATCCCCCACAGGGTAACCATCCCCTATAGGGTAACATCCTTCACAGGGTAACATCCCCCACAGGGTAATATCCCCCCACAGAGTAATATCCCTCACAGGGTAACATCCTTCACAGGGTAACATCCTTCACAGGGTAATATCCCCCTCAGGGTAAATATCCCCCACAGGGTAAATATCCCCCACAGGGTAAATATCCCCCACAGGGTAAATATCCTCCAAAGGGTAAATATCCCCCACAGGGTAAATATCCTCCACAGGGTAAATATTCCCCACAGGGTAAATATAGTGATAAAGTTTTGTTGGTCAGCCTACCATGTGTGTGTAGGTCAGCCTACCATGTGTGTGTTGGTCAGCCTACCATGTGTGTGTTGGTCAGTCTACCATGTGTGCGTTGGTCAGCCTACCATGTGTGTGTTGGTCAGCCTACCATGTGTGTTGGTCAGCCTACCATGTGTGTGTAGGTCAGCCTACCATGTGTGTGTTGGTCAGTCTACCATGTGTGTGTTGGTCAGCCTACCATGTGTGTGTTGGTCAGCCTACCATGTGTGTGTTGGTCAGCCTACCATGTGTGCGTTGGTCAGCCTACCATGTGTGTGTTGGTCAGCCTACCATGTGTGTGTTGGTCAGCCTACCATGTGTGTGTTGGTTAGCCTACCATGTGTGTGTTGGTTAGCCTACCATGTGTGTGTTGGTCAGCCTACCATGTGTGTTGGTCAGCCTACCATGTGTGTGTAGGTCAGCCTACCATGTGTGTGTAGGTCAGCCTACCATGTGTGTGTAGGTCAGCCTACCATGTGTGTGTAGGTCAGCCTACCATGTGTGTGTAGGTCAGCCTACCATGTGTGTGTAGGTCAGCCTACCATGTGTGTGTAGGTCAGCCTACCATGTGTGTGTAGGTCAGCCTACCATGTGTGTGTAGGTCAGCCTACCATGTGTGTGTAGGTCAGCCTACCATGTGTGTGTAGGTCAGCCTACCATGTGTGTGTAGGTCAGCCTACCATGTGTGTGTAGGTCAGCCTACCATGTGTGTGTAGGTCAGCCTACCATGTGTGTGTAGGTCAGCCTACCATGTGTGTGTAGGTCAGCCTACCATGTGTGTGTAGGTCAGCCTACCATGTGTGTGTAGGTCAGCCTGGGGAATACAGGACGTGTTGAGTGTTCACGTTTTACTTGGAATTTACGTAGAGGGTTTCCAGAGATCTTGTATATATATATATATATATTCCTCAAGCCCTGCCAGGAGCCAGGCTTGACTTGTGGTAACTCGATCCATGAAGGTGATGCTTGGGGCGGCTTGGGGGCCCCTCATATCCACTTCAACCCGGTTGGTCTGGTACTTCTGCACCAGCTGGATGCGGTTCTGGGAGTTGTTTTAGTCGCCAAGCCAGGCGCAGGAACTTGTGTAATTATTTCTTGAAGTCCGCCTTTGTTCCGTGCTTACCTCTTCATTAGCATGAGTCATGTAAATAGATTCAACATCCGGAAGGCTCACAAAACGTGGGAGTTGAAAATGCTTTTTGGCTGTCTCTGGCGAATGTGTGTAAGCACTACTCTCGAGCTGGTAATCTTATCCTTTGGTGTTGGTAAGTTGGCCTACCTGGGCTCACATCACAGCACCTGCTCTCTGCTCCCACCCACCAACCCACACTCCAAGCTTAAATGTTTTGTTTATCTTGTTATGACGGATGGTGAACATTAATGGGTGAATATTATCATCCTGATAAGCTTTTTGTTATGTGTTGGTGGTCGTGTTCTCTTGAACTGTTCAGTGTAAACTTTCTTGTTACTCTAGTTGATCAACCAGTCAGGTGTGTAAACCTTTAACCAGTGAAGGCGGACCTACGCCGGTAAAGGTTTTGGTTAAATATATCCCTGTAATACAAATGCTTCCACCGGTGGCAAGTGCCGCACCGCACATGTTGATCATATTTCTCGCACTAATGACCCTTACACTTACAATAAATGTATCTGTAGGGTGTCTGTAGTGATACCGTGACGGCCCGCGTGTCCACACAGCCGGCATGATCCTCTAACCCAACACAAACTCGTCGAGTTCTCTCTTGAAAGATTCCACTGGTGTTTCAGCCACATTTCTTAAATTTCTTGCCAGGGATTGAAGAGTCGTGAGCCTCTGAAAAAATACTTGTTATATCTCTCTCATTTAAAGTTTAGTTTCCATGTGTGAGCCACCGTCCTGGCCCCAGTCCCTGCTCTCATTGTTTCTTTGTCATTTAGTATGTGTGGTTAGTGTTTAATGATGTGTTCTCTGTTTATGAGGGAGTGAGGTCTGGTGCTGGGTGATGTGTTCTCTATGTTTATGAGGGAGTGAGGTCTGGTGCTGGGTGATGTGTTCTCTATGTTTATGAGGGAGTGAGGTCTGGTGTTGGGGCCGGCTCACCTGGCCTCATATATCTATCACAACTTCAGCATCGACGCGCTAGAGAGAAAACGGCTCAAAGATATATACAAGAAAAGACAAAAGGAAAAAGAAGAGGAGAAAAGGAGGAGGAAGAAAGAAGAGGAGGAAAGGCTTGCGAAGGAGGAAGAGAAGTGGAGGAAGCAAGTAGAAGTGTGGAAGAAGGAAGAGGAAGAGGAGAGACAGAAGAGAGAGGAGAGGGGTGAGAAGGGGACCTGGGACTGGTCTCAGGGAGCGACCTACGAGTGGTGTCATGGTAGCCTCGTCATTACCTTCCTCACTCCTCCTGCCCAGGTCAGTTGGGTGTCGTGTGTGTGTGCACCTGTGTGAGTGTGTACTACTATGTGTGTGTGTATACACCTGTGTGTGTACACCTGTGTGTCTCCTGCACCCCTCTGCAGGGCGCCGTCATGACTGGCTGCTCATCGCAATATCTCACACATCTCTATTTATGTTTACCTGTTTTTGGTTACATTAAACTGTCTTATTTTACTTTTGATTTATTTTTAACCTTATCATTTTCAGTATTTTGTAATGATGTGTAAACCAGTGTTAATTAGGACTCGTGTGGTTATTCTGCACAGTGTTGACCTGCATGCGCGCTAATATTACCAGTGTTGTGTTGACATGATGCGTTCCTGCCGTGACTCCAAGCCATATATGCATGCGTGGCGTGACGCTTGAGCGGGATTTGTGCATGTGACGTTTGTGAATTACACGGGACACGCGGTATTGTGCATGGAGCACCTGTATGCTTCTTCCTCGTGTCATGTGTGTTACGTGTCTGGCATCTCTCTCTCATCTGACACATGTGTCACGGTGACGTCCTCTGGGGTGTGGTGTAAACATAGGCGTCTCTGGCCCCGAGCCAGGAGACCATCCCTCATCCACCCTCACACTCATTCTCCTATACTATAGCCAGTACTATGTAAGATGCCTTCCCTACGTCACTTATATCAGGCTCGTCGTGTTTATGCCAGTGGCTGGCACTGTATGGATGACTGTGTGGCTGGCACTACATGGATGACTGTGTGGCTGGCACTGCATGGATGACTGTGTGGCTGGCACTGCATGGATGACTGTGTCTGGCACTGCATGGATGACTGTGTCTGGCACTGCATGGATGACTGTGGCTGGCTCTACATGGATGACTGTGGCTGGCTCTACATGGATTA